TAAAAAAAGTAATAGAGGTGCTGGGATTGCAGCTTAGTGGTAGAGTGCTCGCCTAGCATGCATGAGGTACTGGGGGTACTGGGTTCCATCCCCAGCACCACATAAATGTAAAATAAAGATATTGTGTCCACCTTAAACTAAAAAATAACTATTTAAAAAAAGTAAATAAAAATGCTTTTTATATTAAGTGTATTGGTTACATATATGTCAAATTTTATCCAATTGAATACTTCAAAAATGTGGGTTTTATTGTATTTCAATTTTACCTCAATAAAGCCACAGGGGGAAAAAGACACACACACACACACACACAAAAAAAAAAAAAAAAAAAAAAAACTGGCACAAGGATCAACAAATAAATCAGTGGAAAAGATGAAATTCTATAGAGACCACAGTCCATAGTTAACTGATCTTCAACAAAAGTTCCAATATGAGAATGAACAGGTTTTTTTTTTCAGCAAAGAGTGCTTAATAGGAGATACACACATCAACCCCTCCCCTCACACCAAATGCAAAAATTAAGTCAAATTAGATCATCCACCTAACATAGGAGCTACAACTGTAAAACTTATAGAATGAAACACAGGAGACTATCTTCCTAATCCTGGGTGATGGTCTAAGGCAAATATTCCTTAGGCTTTATAATGTATGAAATGTGAAAGAAAAGATAATCCACAAATTGAAATCCAAATTAGAAACTTCTGGGCTGGGGATGTGGCTCAAGCGGTAGCGTGCTTGCCTGGCATGCGTGGGGTGCTGGGTTTGATCCTCAGCACCACATACAAATAAAGATGTTGTGTCCACCGAAAACTAAAATAAATAAATAAATATAAAAAATTCTCTCTCTCTCTCTCTCTCTCTCAAAAAAAATAGAAACTTCTGATCTTAAAATTAAAAGGGCATTGGAAATTGAAGAGCCAAGTCACAGACTAAAAAATATTAGCAGAATATATCTGATGAAGGAGTTGAATCCAAAATATGGAAGATGCTGCAGTTCCATACAAAGAGGCAACTTGGTGAAAGATAGGCATCAAAAGACTTGAACAGTCCCTTTGCTAAAGAAATATGTGAATGAGATGCCTGTGAGTCCTTTGGCTCAGGAGGCTGAGGCAGGAGGATCATGAGTTTGAGGTCAGCCTCAGCAACTTCGAGAGGCCCTAAGCAACTTGGTGAGACCCTGTCTCCAAAGAAAAAATAAAAAGGRTTAGGGATGTGGCTCAGTGGGTTAAGCAACCCTGGGTGCAATCCCTGGTAACAAACAAACAAACAAACAAAAAATCGTGAATGACCAATTTTCTATATTTTCAACTGGGTGGTGAGTTCATGGAGCAGATCTGGCAAGAAAGTCAAGGTACACATCATAAGAAAAATACAGCCAAATGAATTGATGAAAGATATGAGCACGTTTACACACAAGGAAGACACGACTGTCTGTATACATATGAGAAAATTCTCAACGCTCATTTAGAATCAGGAAAAAGCAAATTAAGTTCACGTGAGATTCTAGTTCTCATTCATTACATTGGTAAAAATTAAAAGGCTGGGCAACATCAAGTACTGGTGAGAACGTAGCCTAACAGGAATTCTCATACCATACTGAGAGTGTAATTTGGCATAATCGCTTTTGCTTTGAGATTCTTTTCCACTCCTAGGTATATAATTTAGAGGAAGCCTTGAGTTTGTGACCAGGAGACACGTACAAGAATGTTCATAACAAAATTATTATACTAGCAAAAAGAGGTACAACCTAAATATCTACATATACCACATAATTTATGGTATAATCATGCAGTGAAGTATATACAGGAATTAAAATGGATTGCAGCTACACAGACCTATATAAATACATACTGTTGAAAAAAGATTGAAGACAGATGAGTACAGACTGAAAGAGTACATCACATTAATTAGAAAAACAGTATGCTGTCTAAGATTTCATACATGGGGGTAGGAATCAGGAAGATAAGGATGATTAGCATCAGAGGATCAGGGTTATTTCTGGGGTGAATGGTTCAGTGTCTTCTAAGAAACTAACAATTTTCTGTATTTTAAGATGGGTGGTGAGTTCATGGGAACTCATTAAACTGCACATAAACCTTTTATATACTTTTTCATATGTATGTTTCATAATATAAAAAACAAGTAGAACATGATGTGAAATGCAAGAGACCAGTCACAAAGAAACACATGTTGTATGATTCCATGTGTATGAAATGTCCAGGAAAATCTTTATAGGAAAACCTATCAAGACAGAAATTAGACTGGTGGTTGTCTAGGGCTAGGGAGGTGGGAGAAATATGGGGAATGAGTGCTACCTTTTGTCTCAGTACTATATATATATATATGTTGTAGTTGGACACAATACCTTTATTTTACTTATTTATTTTTACGTGGTGCTGAGGATCAAACCCAGGGCCTCACACATGCTAGGCAAGCGCTCTACCACTGAACTACAACCCCAGACCTCAGTAAAGCTTTTATTTAAAAAACAAACAAACAAACAACAACAAGAACAACAAAAAAACACACAGAGGTAGAGGCTGGGTGCAATGGTGCACACCTGTAATCCCAGCAATGAGGGAGGCTGAGGCAGGAGGATCACAAGTTCAAAGCCAGCCTCAGCACCTTATTGAAGCCCTGAGCAACTCAGGGAGACCTTGTCTCAAAGTAAAAAATAAAAAGAGCTGGGGATGTGGCTTAGTGGTTAAAAGCCCTTGAGTTCAATCCCCAGTATCCAAACAAAACAAAACAACCAGGTGGACTATTTGGACCTACAGAAAGGCTGTCAGTGGGACACAAGATGGTGACTGATGAAGGCGAGAGGAAGACAATTTTGTGGTGCCAGTTGTTCTCAAAATTCTAGCACATGCCCAGATCACCTAGAGGGTTTGTTAAAATGTGGCTTGTAGGGCCCCATGCCCAGATTTTCTGATTTGCAAGTCTTGGGCAGGGTCAAGAATCTATATTTCTAACAAGTACCCAGGTGATGCTGCTGCCGCGCAGGGACTGTGCCACTCTACAGTGCCTGGCATAGGTGTCCAATAGATCGATATTGGATGAATGAATGAGCGGAGGGATGATTGCTGATTGGGTGTTTGAGAGAGTGGATGGGTAAAGGTTGGATGGAGGGGTAAAGGACGGGTGGACTGGGAGGGGATGGTAACTGGGTGGCTGGGTGGGAGATGGTCCAGAGTCGTAGAGGAAATGAGGTTAGAAGTTGTAACATGGAAAGTAGTGTAAAGAAGAGCATGAAGTCGAGACCTAGCATCAACTCTTGGTTCACTGCCTACTAGCTGTGCAATGATTGGCAAGTGACTTCATCTCTCCAAATGTTAGTCTCCTCATGTGTAAAATGTGGGTAGATGATGCCTACGAATGTTCCATGAGGTAATATCCTTGGAAGAAATGGCACAGGGCCTGGCAGACAATGGTTGCTTTCCACTTTTTTTTTTTTTTGGTACTAGGCATTGAACCAAGGGGTACTTTACAGTTAAGCTACATCCTCAACCTTTTTTATTTTTTATTTTGAAACAGGGTCTCGCAAAGTTGCCCTTGGTAGCCTTGAACTTGCCATCCTCCTACCCCAGCCTTTAAGTAGCTGGGATGACAGCCATGAACTCCCATGCCCAGCTTCTCCTCTTTATAGAACCTGATGATTACCGTCATATATCACTGGGCTGTACTGTGTGGTTGACACTAGAGGCTTGTAATTCAGGTCCATCTTGTTTCCATAGTAGCCGATGCTGACCTCAAACTGGATCAGGTCCTTAAAGCTGGGCATCATTGTACAGGAGATGAAGACGACACACAGGCCATACTTTTGGCGGTTCTGTTGTTTCTAAAATGATAACCCCCCCCATCCTCAGTACATAAATAAAAAGGAGAACAAAGCTGTACTGACAGGCAGGAAGGTGAGGAAGAAATGCCCTGTTTCTTTCAAAAGCCATCTTGGCTTCTCTTTGCAGTGAGCTAGACCTTCATTGAGACCCTTCTTGCACCTAGTTGATCAAGAGCAGGTCCTTTCAGGACCTCTGTCACTTGGCCCACTCTACCTGGCCAATCCTGGTTCCCTCCCCCTCCTGAAGTTGGGCAGAAGGGCCTCTTCTCTGGTCAGCCTAGGCTCTGTGTTAGTTTAGCCCTTCCCCATTCTGAGTAGAGAAGCCCCTTCCTTTGGGTCTAAATCCCTAACTCAAAAGAGTGGGTCAGGGTGGGCAAGGTGTGGGGCTGGGGTTGTGCACACTCACACCCGAAAATCTGCACCTTTCCACTTCCTGCCTCAGCTGCTCACTGTCCCCCGATCAGGTCCATTCCCACCATGCCTCCTACCTGCCCAGGCCCTCTGTCCACATCAGTCTCTTTCATCTCTGTTGCCAACTTCTGTTCTATTTCTATATTCCCCATCTGCTCTCCTCCTCTTAAAAAAATAACTGTCTTTCTCCCACCTGAGTCCCTGGCTAACAGCTATCCAACCATGTCTCCTTCTACTTCTCATACGAGTTTCTTAGTGTCTTCTTTCCTCACCCTGTCTCCAACTTCTCCCTTCCTTCTATGGTGGCCCAGCATCTCCCCTGAGCAATGGCTACCAGGGCTTCCTGAAACACCTGCAGACACCTTTCACTTCTCACCATCTCTCAAGCACATTTGAGATCCACAATCACCCTTTTTCTCCCCTTCTGAGAGGACTTCTGCACACTCCTCCTCCACCTGCCTCTTAGCCTCTAACGTCTTGAGGCTCCATGCTCAGCCCCTTTCACTTCACCTCTCTCCCTGGGCCATTAATTCCAGGACCACAGGTGCAAACCCTGGTGACACACCCTGGTGGCTAGCAGCCTCCAAAGGCTGGGCAATGTATCCACATTTCACAAGCATATGTCAGAGATGGGATTCATTATCTTCCCCAGACCTGCTCCTCCTTCAGAGGGCCCATCTTGGTGCCTGACACCCCTGACTACCTTGGTCCATCAARGAAGAGAATGGACATGAGCTTAGGGAGTCAGCCTCACTTCTTAAGTCTTGTTGGTTACTGACTCTGACTATTCTGTTTCCAAAGGTGTTTGAAACCTGTTCTCCTCTCCTCAAACTCTCTCCACCAGGACTCTCCCCATTTCTCYTTATTGTGTAACACCAACTTACTCCCCTCCAATCTATTGTTAATACTGCTCCTTATGCCCTTTGCCAATTCAATGGTCCTTCACTGGTTTGGGGAAGAAATCTAAATCCCTTACACTATTTTTCAAAGCCCTGAGAAACTAAGGTATGAATGAACATTCCTCCTCCACTGGCTTATTATGCATTTCTTAAAATGAAACCTTGTTTTTTACTGGGTTCCCCCCACCCACTCTTCCACCAGCATCACCACTGGAGATTTGGCAAGTATGAAGGTGCCAGACAGGGGCTTAGTAAATACTAAGGCAGATGGATGGAGCATCTTTACACATCCAACAGCTCGCTCACAGGGGCTGGTACAGGGCCAGAAACTGGGGTCCACAGTAGATTTGGTTGAGGGGCTCTCTTCCCCAGCCTGTTTCCCACAGTTACCTCTACCCTGATCACATCACGAGAGAGATCCTTTATCCAGGTTTCTTGTTGGGACTTGAGTTGGGTGATCAACTCCAGGTAGACTCGACCTCGGTAAGATAAACCATCCCTTATAGAGTCGTGAATACACTATGGCAAGAGAGAAGAAAATGGGGAGAAAAGGGGTGAGAGGGAAAGGGCTGGCACAYGTCGCCAGAAATCCCCACAGCAAATCCAAGATTGTCCAGGGACTCCCTGCCTGCCGCCTGCCTGGGGTACCTCCAGCCACAAACTCTGGAAAGAATTCCAAATATGACAGACACCTATGTGGCTGGAAGTCTCTAGGCCTCATCCCTCTTCTGCACCCTAGCACCCACGACTCTGGTTCACCAAGGCCATGTGCCAGCCACCTTGAAGTGTTCATGGAGACCACACACCAGCACCTTGAAGGATGCAACTAGGCCAGGACTGATCACCACTGAGCATGCGCTCCAAGTCTGGCCAATCAAGGCACCCTCTGCGCCTCCTTGACCACAGTGATTGGTCCAAAGAGAGCACACATGACCTAGAGAGGCCAATTAGAGTGCTTCCCTGGTTCCTAGCCCGGAACCCGAATGTGGCCCAGGAGAAAGGTGTGGAGAGCCTCCAACCAGCCGCTTCTGCATGTGGCGCCTGAGGCCCCTCTTCCCTCGGAATCCTTCCCAGCCTCCTTCCTTTCCCATTTAAGCCAATTCGACCTGGGTTTCTGGCACTTCTCACCACTCTTGAATTACCCCTGCTTTTCCATGCTTATCTGCGCCGTGTCCTTTCAACCCGTCGAAAATCTTACCCGAGGTCTCGTCTCAGTGCCCCTTCCTCTGGAACTGTCTAGAGAACCGCATCTGTTCCTTTCTGGGGCCACCGCTTATGTCCCACAGACACATGGCTATCTATGTAACAGGCTTCCTGTCCTCTGCTGGAGTGTGGTGGTCAGAAATCAGGACTGAGTCCTTCCCAGGCCTTTCCCAGGTCTCCTGCTTTACAGTGATAACTTTTACCTCCTAGAGCYGACACGAGAAGCTTACAGGGTCTGCGTAGATCCTGAAAGGGGGCTTTTTACCCCCATGGAGAGTCAGGAAGCAGGGGCCAAAGCAAGGCAGGAAGCCAGAGTACATCCCTGGAAGGAGAGAGGGTGAGAGCAGGTGGGGCCCAAGTGGGAGAGGTGTGGGAGGTTGGGTCCAGGGCCTTTGCTTGCCTTCGATCAGTTCTCCAGAGGACGAGATCTGGTTGAGGCACAAGGTGACAGTCCCGATCTCATCCCAGCAGTTCTGCTTGGGGCTAGGGAGAAACACATTCCGGTGGGCTGAGCCCCTGGTTGGGCACCTATGTTCTCCTCCCCCGCATGTGCTTGAACTTCTAGCCCCTCTGTTCACCAGTTCAAGACTCTGAACTTGATGTATCTGGAGAGGCAGGGCATCTGCAAGATGAAGGCAAGAGAGCAGTGAGTCACTGGGATGGCCTGGGCTTTGCAGAGATATTGAGAGTGATTGGGAGGTTCTGGGGGCAAGGCCCAGCTCAGATACCAGTCAATCACAGACAAGCTGAATTTACCAGGGAGCCTATGGAGGTTTGGCCCTAGGCTTAGCTGCACCCAACTTATAGGTCCTGGGACTGTCACATCATCATCTTTTATCTTAAAATGATCTCTTAAGTTTAAACTTGAGGACCAAGAGACCTGGGCCCTCCCTGACATTTAAACTTCGAAGTTTAAATGAGTACTCATCAAATAGTCTCCTCCTAGAGTAAATAAATAATGGTAACTACCACCCTGGGAGGGTTTCTGTTGTCCACCAGCTTGAGCTGAACAATTTCCACAGATCAGCTGAGTGATACTCCCAACAACCCCTCAAACCAGGTGCTATTAATATTCTCATTTTCAGCCGGGTGTGGGTGGCTCACTCCTGTAATCCCAGGGGCTCTGGAGGGGGAGGCAGGAGGATCACCAGTTCAAAGCCAGCCTCATCAACTTAGTGAGGCCCTAAGCAACTCAGTAAGACCCTGTATCTAAATAAAATACAAAATAGGGCTGGGGGTGTGGCTCAGTGGTTAAGTGCCCCTGGGTTCAATCCCTGGTACAAAACAACACCTCATTTTCAAATGGGGAAACTGAAGCATAGAGGGGTTGGTTTCCTCAAGTTCTCCTGCTTCATGCAGAGGCTGAAGCCTCAAATCTCTTAACTACTCTGCCATAACCCAGTGAGGGCTGTGATTTGTTCCTATATACAGATGGGTAATGAGGCCCAGAGGCACAGAAGGACCCTCTCAAGGTCATATAATAAAGAGTGGCATCAGGATTTGAATTCCAGCTTCCGAGTCTTATCTCTGCTTTGCATATGTTTTCCTCCTCGATTGTATTTTTCTTCAATTATTAAAAGAAAATAGGGACTGTGGCTATGGCTCAGCAGTAGAGCACTCACCTAGCATGTGTGAGGCACTAGTTTCAAGCCTCAGCACCACATAAAAATAAATAAAAGAAAGATATTGTGTCCAACTACAATTTAAAAAATAGAAAATAATAAGGAAAAAACTCATGTAAAACAGAAGTTCTGGGTTTGAAACCCTGAGTGGGATCCCAAATCTCCTTATTTGGGGTTTCTTATCCTCCTTATAGCAGTTTTTGAGATGTGGCAAGGAACCTCCTGGTTCTCCACCCTTTCCATCCTTTCTTTTTTTTAATATATATATATATATATATTTTTAGTTGTAGTTGGACACAATGAATACCTTTATTTTATTTATTTATTTATATGCGGTGCTGAGGATTGAACCCAGCGCCTCCTATGTGCTAGGCGAGAGCTCTTGCCGCGGAGCCACAACCCCAGCCCCACCTTCTCCATCCTTTCTACCCCTGCCTTGGTAGCTGGGGACCAAGTGAGGAGTCAGGAAAAGGCTTTCTAGTTGAGCACATAAGAAGAAAAGAGAAAACTGCCCAGGTTAAGAAAGAACACTGGAAGGGGAGAGATGGATGCCATGGCCATCCAGGTCGTCCAAAGTTATGAATCCTCCAAGTTCTTCAAGTTCATGGTCAAACCACCTTTTCCTCCATTCCATTAAGAATTTCCCCCCATCTCGGTTCCTTGTCTAGATTCAAGCATACTGTCTCCCCTCCRTCTCTGGGCCCTCAAGTAGGCCATCACCACAGGCCCATTTTCAGCAGTGTCCCCTTGACCAGGTGGCCTCAGGAGCTGGCACCTGTGTGCAGTTGGTCATCCTGCCTCTTTATAGCAAGGCTCATATCTGCCTGATACCTTTCCAAAGGGCTAGTGAGGATCACTCCAAATGATCCCCACCGTGGAGACCTGGCATGAGTGAAGTCCCGGGGTCTTTAGCCACTCTCACATTTTGGAAGGCCAACATATGAACATCCGTGGAGGACCTGGGCCACCCACTCCTCACAGYCACAGAAAGGTGAAAGAGATCCGAGCAAGACTATGTGCTAGGCCTCTTTTAAGTTCCCCTCCTCCACTAAGAGTCTATAAAATCATCTAAGGAGGTAGGGATTTTGAGGAATTATTGAAAATGATGACTCACCAGGAGGCCAACTAGGGGAAGCTTCTAGAAACATCAGGGAGGTAGTTCAGAGGAGAGAGGAAGAGAGCTAATTTTGTATTGCACAGTGGAAGCTATAAGAAAGCTAGACACCCTCTGGGTAGGCAAACTGATAGGACACAGATTTCTCTGCACTTGCACTTAGGAGAGAGCATATTCTGATTTTACACACAGCTCTTAGGAGTTGGCATCGAGTCAAAAGGTCATTAAGGCTCCACCAGGGCTTCAAGAGAGCTGTCATCCATGACAGTTCATAAATGACCTAGAAGAACTGAAAGGCTAAGAGATCAGATGACAGTACTCCACAGCRAAGAGCATCTTGGAGCCATTCTGTATGCGATGACATAGCCCTGTCCACATACAGCCCAGAGTAATAACTAGGMTTCCAGGATGCCTTGGGGCCATCTACACAGAGCTGTCATTATCTTCAGAGTACTTTGCCTTGAAGGTAGAAAATGTACACTACAATCTAGGATGAGMCTTTAAAGTGATTTGCTTTTTGTTTGTTTTGTTTAGGAGATGAGGTCTCACTCTGTTGCCCTGGCTGGTTTCAAACCTTAAGTGATTGGCTTAAGTGATCCTCCTGCCTCAGCCTCCCGAGTAGCTAGACCACGGCTGCCTGTTTATTATCTTTTCTAAATATGGGTGAGGGGCACATTTAAATTCTCTGGAAAGTTCATTTGCATGGTTCACTCACTGCTTCATACTGTGTAGATAAATCAAGGTTTTCCCTATCTGAGCTTCCTTGTGCTCTCTYGAGGTAGAGCCCTGGCTCCCCTCACTGGGCTTCCTATCTTCACCTTCCATCCATATTCACACATGAACACTCAAGATTCCCTTCCACTGGGGGGGGCAAGGGTGAGCATGATGGAACAGCCATACCTGAATCTGGAAGGTCAGGATCTGGTTCCATATTGGGTTGTCGGTTTGAGTCTGCACAATCGTCTTGAGCTGGGAACATCCGAAAGCAGGTGTTATGGTTTGGATCTTCAGCGTCCCCCAAAGACTCATATATTCAAGGCTGGTCCCCAGCTGATGGAGCTACTGGGAGCTGGTGGGACCTTTAAGAGGTGGAGGCTGATGGTAGGAAGTGAGGTCACTGGGGGGCGTGTCTTTGCAGGGGGGATTGGGGAACTCTTTGCTTCTTGGCCACAAAGAGGAGAGCATCTTTGCTCCACCACAGGCTGTCTCCATGGTGTTGTGTCTCAGCACAGACCCAAAAGCAGRAGAGCCACTGACCATGGACTGAGACCTCTGAAACCATGAGCCAAAACAAACCTTTGCTCCTTTACATTGTTTCTCTCAGGTACTTTGTCACTGTGATGGAAAGTTGACTAACCCAGCATGGTCAGTGCCAGCCTGTCCCCTCCTCCCACTACTGGCCTCACTTTCCAGCTCTCCCTGTCCAGGTCACAGGTGGACTCTGTGGCACCAARTGATCGGGCTTGTCCTTGAAAGTTGTCCTTGGATAACTTCTCATCAGCTGCCACTTCAACCCCTTGGTTACTTATCTCAAAGCATTTGCCAGACCCACACTGCTCAGTATTTCTTCTTAAATCACTTTCCAATGAACATTTTTTCCTTTATTCTTTTTTATTTATTTTGTATTTTTAGTTGTAGATGGACACAATACTTTTATTTTATTTTTATTTATTTACTTATTTTTATATGGTGCTGAGGATCAAACCCAGGGCCTCATACAAGCCAGGCAAGACCTCCACCTCTGAACCACACCCCGAGCCCTCCTTTATCTTTTCTTTCTTCCTTTCTTTTCTTTTTTAGCAATGCTAGGAACACAGGACCTCATAACATGCTAAGTAATCACCCTACCCCTGAGTTACATTTATAGCCCTTTCATTTTTAAATAGGTACAGATAGGGTTATAACTTTTACTCCATGAGTGCATACACAGARATTATGGTGGATAAATTACAAAATTCCAATTGAAAAATGGCCCAAACAATGGCTGATGATAGCAGAATACCCTTAAAACCATCAACTGACATAAAACATAAACTTAGCCTTACTCTAGGTAATAATATCTGTGAAATCAAGTGTGAGTTGGCATTGTTAAGCTTTTTAGGTACACTAAAATAAACACAAACTTGTCAAGTATTTAAAAAAAAATGTGTGTCACGGGGCTGCGGTTGTGGCTCAGCGGTAAAGCACTTGCCTGGCACATGTGAAGCCCTGGGTTCGATCCTCAGCACCACATATAAATAAATAAAATAAAGGTATTGTGTCTAACTATAACTAAAAAATAATTTTAAAAAAGTGTGTCACTTGTCACCCAAGAATTTCTCCACTAGTTCTGGGAAACCCAGACCATAGGAAAATAAATACTCAGTGTGATAGTTTTAAATATGCACCCATACTCTTTGGTACTTCTCCCTTCAGAAGGAGGACCTTAATTCTTTTCTCCTGACATGTGGGCTAGTTTTAACAGATGTAATAGAGTAAAATGATGTTTTGTGACTTCTAAGACAAACCTATTTAACTTTAACCTAGCCTTCCCCAAATCTGAACATAGAATTTTTTGTTGTTGTTGTTGTATTGGGGATTGAACCCAGGGGGTACTTTACCACTGAGCCACATTCCCAGTCCTTTTCATTTTGTCCTTTCTCATTAAGTTGCTTAAGGCCTCACTAAGTGACTGAGGCTGACCTCGAACTTGTGATCCTCCTGCCTCAGCCTCCTGAGTGGCTGGGATTCTAGGTGTGCATCACCACGCCCTGCAACATAGGACTTAACATCTGCAACATGGGACCTGACACCTGTCAGTACTTTTGGGAAGTGCTACTTGGAGGTTTTTGGAAGGTTGGCAGTTCTCTAGCTCAGGTCTTTTCATTTACAGATGAGGAAACTGAGGCCAAGAGGGCAGTGGCACGGCAGTTTGTTTGTGGGCAGTTATTTTACCCACTCATTCATGGGCCAGGTGTTTGGTTCCCGTGGGCATCTTCTCCTTGCAGGGCTCTGGGCATTCTCTGGCAGCGGAGGTGGTGAGAACTGGCCTCCACCTGTCCCCTGCCCCACCTCCAGAGGCTCCCCCTGCTCGTTGGTGGGTGAGCTAGGATTCCATTTCTGGGGTCCCAGCCCTCTCCTTTTCTCAGGTGCCATGTTCTCTTTTTCTATTTACCTTCTCCCCAATGAGTTCCACCTCCAACACAGGATTTACAATCGGGCGTTTCTCTATGAACAAGAAATTGAAAGACTCTGAGATGGCAGCACCTTTTGKTTTTTTTKKTTTTTTAAGGAGGTAGAAATGGAAAGATGACACCACTGCTTAACCCCCGCTCTGCCCCTTCTGTGTGACGTCCACTCCACACAGAAGGGGGGAAGTGGGGTGGGATGATCAGAAAGTACCGTGAGTCTGCATCTGGGCATCAAAGGCCGGTCAAGGCACAAAGGGACACCAGGGTGACCTTGGTCCAACAGTCCTGGAGGACTTCATCTCGCTCTGTCCCCCACCCCCCTCTTAGGTCAGTGTCAAAAGGAATGAGAAGGCCCCACAAGGGTCTGGGCTGCTCCCCTGCAGGCAAGCTCAGGGGGGTCCCTCCCCTCCTACCGGAATGGAGGTCCTCTGCGCARTAGATGAAGAACTGTAGGTAAGCCATCTTGATGGGGACTGCTGTGGACTTGAAGACCTGCACATCATCGGTCGAGTAGGCCAGCTTCTGATCCAACTGAGAGCAGACAGGGTCAGGGTTGTGGGGAGGTCACAGCCAGGGTGGGCGGAGTGGGACCGCCCTACAGGGACAGGCTGGATGAAGGATGGTTGTGCAGGTTAGAGGCCAGGGTAGAAAACGCTCCTGGGGCTGGGCGGGGCACCTCACCGGGGCCCGGTCGCCAGCACCCAGGACACAGATGGTGACTTTCAGGTAGCCTCTCACGCCGCTGGTGGATTTATTTGGATGGCAGAGGCCCAGCCATTTCCGTATGATTGCGTGACCTGGAGAAGCAGAGGGGCCACGGGAGACCAGTCTCTAGTCTCCACGGCTCTCCCTGAAACCCAGCACTGTTGCTGGGGGAGAGGGGGCAGGAAAGGTGTCTCTTCACCTTCTGGTTCCCACCCTACCATAGAGGAGACGAAATCAAGAGCCACTTCAGCCATTAGGGCATCCTCCTAGGGTTGCCAGCTATTGCCTCCATGAAAGAGGGTCCCCTGTCCACCTGGGAACCTGCTGCTGTGACTGCCTGGTCTGGAGTCAGACACCATAGAGGCATCCATCTGCCCCACCCTCAGATCCAAATCTCAACCTGGCAGTATGTCATGGCCAGGTCATGGTGGAAACCACCACTCAATCCCAGGGCCCCACAGAAGAGTGGTTAGTAGAGGGTGGGTGGGGAGGAGGAGGGATAGAGAAGAGATGTTCACTGGGTACAGGGGTGCTGTTGAAGAGGAGGGAATAAGGCTTCCAATGTTCCAGAGCACAGTGAGGTAACTATGGTTGGCCATAACTGTCCATTTCAGGGGCTGGGGTTGTGGCTCAGTGCCTAGCAAGTATGAGGCATTGGGTTCAATCCTCAGCACCACATGGAAATAAGTAAATAAAATAAAGGKATTGTGTCCATCCACAACAAAATATATATTAATATATAATTATATTAGTTAATTCATTAATATTGATATATATTAATTTTCCATTTCAAAATAGCCAGCAGGAGAATTCTGAAYGTTAAAACACACACAAATGATAAATGTTTGAGGTAACGAATATGCCACTCACCCCGATCTGATCAAAGGCAGCCTTAGCAAAAGCAAGGCACTAAGCAACTCAGTGAGAGTTGTTTTTTTAAACCAACTTCAATCAAGCAATGCTGGCCTCAATAAATAGAAATCAAACTCAGGGATGCAGTCAAAAGTTAGCATTTGATGCAAAGTTTTTCAGAAAAAATATGCTGTTATAATAAAGTAAGAGCAGGGTGTGCTGGTACAGGCCTGTGATCCCAGCAACTCTGGAAGCTGAGGCAGGAGGGCTTCGAGTTCAAAGGCAGCCTCAGCAACTTAGCGAGGCCCTAAGCAACTCAGCAAGACCCTGTCTCTAAATAAAATATAAAAACGGAGCTGGGGATGTGGCTCGGTGGTAAAATGTCCCTGGGTTCCAACCCTGGTACCATTAAATAAACAAACAACAAACGAACAAACAAGTAAATAAAATAAAGTAAGATAAAATACCATAGAGTACAGTAAAATATTATCAAGTAGAGAGCCTTCTAATACTTTCTCCCCATGTGGTGGGATTTTTTTKKGGGGGGGTACTGGGGATTAAACTTAGGGGCACTCAACCACTAAGCTACATCCCCGGCCCTATTCTGTATTTAATTTAGAGACAGAGTCTCACTGAGTTGCTTAGCAGCTCACTTTTGCTGAGGCTGGCTTTGAACTCTTGATCCTCCTGTCTCAGCCTCCCTAGCTGCTGGGGTTACAGGTGTGTGCCACCACGSCTGGTTCATGTGGTGGGATTTCCAGGTGACTTGACCCTGGCCTGATTTTTCTCAGTAGAATGCACGTGTATGGGTAACCTCCGTCACCTACCTGGACAATGGTAGATAAACCCAATATCTGTCTGAAAAGACAAGAGTGGGGGAGGAGGGTTAGTCTGGCTGTGCTTTGACACTCCAGTGTTCCCCGCCAAGGCCCAGGTGTTGGAGGCCAGTCCCCAGCTAGGTACTCTTGGGAAGGGGTGGAACTTTGTGTGGGACCTAGAAGGAGGCCAGGTCACTGGGGCCTGACCCAAAGGGTGATTGTGGGGCCCTGACCCCTTCCTCTGTCTCCTTTATTTCCTGGCCATGAGGTGGACTACTCTGCTCCACCTGCACTCCCACCATGACGGGTCACTAAAGACCCAGTCATGGACTGAAACCTCTACAACTGTGAGCCCAAATGAGCCTTTCCATGTGTCTGTACATACACAAGCCCTAGCCCCACACCTGTCCTGGCCTGCACCGTACCATTCCTCAGGCCTTCTGCCAGGGGAAAAGGGGACCCAGAGCCTCTTTGCTTCTCCTTGATCATCCTGTTCCCCCAGGACAGGACACGGACACACACACACACACACACGCACACGCACACGCACACGCACACGCACACGCACACGCACACGCACATGCACACGCACACGCACACGCACACGCACAGTCTCTCAGGGATTTGTGATAGTAAGGGAAACCTGACTCACCCAGGGCTCCAGACAAGGTGCGTCACACTGGCTGACCCAATGACAGTATTTGCTACTGGTGTTTGACACAATCTTTGCCTTAACTCCGATTTTTTCTTTTTCTTYTCTTTTTATTTTTTTGCTACTGGGTATTGAACTTGGGGGCACTCGACCACGAGCCACATCCCCAGCCCTATTTTGTATTTTATTTAGAGACAGGGTCTCACTGAGTTGCTTTGTGCCTCACCATTGCTGAGGCTGGCTTTGAACTTGTGATTCTCCTGCCTCAGCCTCTCAAGCCACTGGYACAATAGGCGTGTGCCACCGCACTCTACACTCCTCTAATATTCAGTGACTGAGAAGGTAGGCCTGTGGTCACCTSCATTCTGCACAGGAGGATCCTGAGTTTGAGAGAAATGGCCAAAGTCTTATAAACAGTGAAGAARCCTGCGCTGGAACAGGTTTTACCCAAGAGAAAGGAAGGCATGTGTCCAGAATAAGACTTATATATAAATGTTTTACAATAGCTTCATTGTAATAGCCCCAGGGTAGAAGCAGTCAAAATGTCAGCCAACAGATGAACGGATAAATAAACTATTATGTCCATACAATGGACTATTACTCAGCAATAAAAAGGAACAAACTGTTGCTATATGCAACGAGGAATGAAGCTCAAACTAATTGCACTTAGTGAAAGAAACAAGASGAAAGAGGGTATATACCATGTGATTCCATTTATGTAACATGCTAGAAAATGTAAACAATCTAGAATAGTGGAAAATAGATCAGTTCCAGGTRTGATGGCACATGCCTGTAATCACATCAACTTGGAAGCCTGAGGCAGGAGGATTATAAATTTGAGGCCAAGAGCTAGGGTAGTAGCCTAGTGGTAGAGCACTTGCCTGGCGTGTGAGGCACTGGTTCAATTCTCARCACCGCATATAAAGAAATAAAAAGGTCCATCGACGATTAAAAAATATTAAAACATAAATAAATAAAAATAAATAAGTTTGAGGCCAACCTCAGCAATTTAGTGATAATAAATAAATAAGTAAGTAAATAAAGGGGATGGGGGTGTATAGCTCAGTGGTAAAGCACCTCTGGATTCAGTCCCCAGCAAAGAAAGAAGGGGGGGCGAAAGAAGCGGGGCAGGGAGAAAGAAGAAAAAACAGGGAGGGAGGGAGGAAAGATAGATCATTGATTGGCTGAGGATGGGAGGAGGTAGGATGAGAGGAAGAGGAAGGGCCTGAGGGAACTTTTGGGGAATGATAGATGTGACAGATATATTTATTATCTTGATCATGATGATGGTTTTATGGGTATGTACATATTTAAAAATATATCAGATGACACATTTTAATATGTGCAATTCATTGTACAGCAACTGTATCCCAATAAAGCTATACCAAGACAAAGCAGAATTCAGGTTCAGTCACTCCTCAGACAGTAGTAGATGTAGTCAGTGACCAGCAATGGCAGGAAGAGAGCCCCACAGGCACTCTGTGCCTCCTGCTGAAGTCACTTTGCTAAATAATTGCTCCCAGTCTGGTCAAGCCTCTGGATAGGGAAATGGGGAAGTAGGGTGAGATATGAACCCCCCTGGAAATGCAATCTAGACTGGAGAATACCAGGTACAACTACTGTTTCCTTAACTGATAAATTGTAAGCTAAAGAAAAAAAAATTTAAGGGAACCAATGGAATAAGAAACCWAAGCTGCACATTTGCTAACTGCAATGAATGGATCTGGTTTGGATCCTGATTTGAACAAACTTTGAAGAATTCTGGCCGGGCATGGTGGTGCATGCCTGTAATCCCAGTGGCTCAGGAGCCTGAGGCAGGAGGAACAAAGTTCAAAGCCAGTCTCAGCAATGAGAGCAATGAGGACCTAGGCAACTCAGTGAGACCCTGTCTCTAAATAACATACAAAAAGGGCTGGGGATGTGGCTCCGTGGTTAAGCACCCCTGGGTTTAATCCCTGGTACCAAAAAAAAAAAAAAAAAATTGAACTTCAGCATCCATATGCAATATTTGGTGTGCAATGAAACAATATTTGGACATTACTGAATTATAACTGTTTATAAAAATTATGGGGGCCTGTTGTTTTAGACAGAACTACTACACTGGGTCCAAAGAGACTAGACTAAATATCAAAATGAGTCACCCATGCTGAAGTTCCATCACTTCAATTGTTRTGTGACCTTCAGACAATCAGGAGAATGAGAGCCAGATTCCCGAACCAGGTACATCTGTACAATAACGAACTTCCTCTGCTTTATTCCTTACGAAAAGGAACTTGTTGTTAAGCAATCAGTTATTTTCCTATTGTTCTGTCCCCCTGTCCTTGCCTTATAAGCCAAAGAACTTTGTGATGACCAATCTGCCTTTCTATTTTGTTATTTTGGAGAGGGGGTGGTAGGAACTGAACCCAGAGCCTCATGCTTACCAGGCAGATACTCTTCCACTGAGCTATATACTTTATCTTGAGGTAGGGTCTTGCTAAATTGCCCACGCTGGCCGTGAACTGGCCTAGCCTCATGAGTCTCTGGGATTACAGGCGTGCACTCCCGCCCCTGGCTTGTTTCTGGGTCTTTGTTTTTTTCCCCCCAGTCATTCTCTGTCCATAAAACCAACTTCTTCTGCTTGGCCTGTTATTCTGTTTTATGCAATCAAGCGTTGCTCCATTCTAGAATCTCAAAATAAAGCCTCTTTGACAGATCTAAGAAGTTATCTGTTGTTTATCTAAGATTCAAATATAACCAGGCATCCTGTATTTAACCTAGCACCAACCCCCTCCTGATATTCCTGGATTTTGAGGTTCTTATTTTAACCCTCCCTGACTGTGTGAACTCCTCTCTCAGTTTGTGTCTTTTCAAATTACATTGTTGTCCTCTGTCCTCACAGGCAGCAATCTTTCTTTGGGTTTCTCCAACACTTAACGTTGGCCGTTCTGTTTCTCCAGCAACGAGTTACCTGGACGCAGACATGTGTCTACAGTATCATGGGTTTGGGTAACTCAAGATGGCGCCCAGTACTTCCCTGTTATCTAMTTTAATCCTCACAATGACCTTGCAGTTTGGGTCTATTATTATTCCCATTTTACAGACAAGGAAGTAGAAGCTCAGAGTAATTGGTCTAAGCCACCCAGTTGGTAGGTGGATCCAAGCCTGGATCTTTCCTTTTCCCAGGCTTGGGCGTGGAGCCCAGAGAGGGTCTGGGCAATGGTTTGACCAAGCCTGCAATWTGATATGCTGGACTCACTTGGAATCTCCCGATCTCTGCTTTGGATCGTGGCAATGCTGAGTTCACCACCTGCAAGGAGGGTTTCCAGAAAGATCTTAATTATTCACAGCTTCGATTTCCCCCATCCCCTGTGGAAGCAATAGGAAGGACAGATTCAGGGTCCCCAGGATTTAAGGAATGATTCCTAACGGACAATGCTTACACATTTTTTTGTTTTTGTTTTTTCCTCRTTTACTTTACAAAGGAACCCTGTTCTATTTCATGGATCAGAAAGGCCAACTCAAAGCAAGGGGTTGCGCAGACTTTCTGCACTACATCTCATCACGATTGTTTCTGTGTCTAGTTCCCAAGAACATGTAACCGTTTCCAGGGGACAAGTCTCCTTGCTTTCCTCAGGTGTGTGATAAACTCTCTCCATTGGGAGCAGCTCCCTCTGGTTGGAGAATGGATTAGGCCTCTGGTGACCTGAGAATYCCGACACATGGAAGTGTTACCTGTTTGCCACAGCCCACCCCCCCTCAAACCTGCCTGTTAGCCATCCCTGACATTTGTTGAATGAATAAMTGAATGGGAAATTTGGGCTGCCATGGGGGCAAAGAAGATGGTGGAGAGGCTTCTTTGGGGTCAGAAAGACAATTTCAGGTGACCCTGGCTCTAAGGGCATGGGCTAGGACTGAAATGCTTCTCAGGATTGAGGTGGGACAAGAAAATGGAGCCATTTTGCTGGGGACCAGTTTGGCTCCTCACCTGGATTAGGATGACCTCATCGAAGAACTTTGCTGGAATCTCATGGAAATTCTGGAAGAAAATCTGGGAGGCAGAGAGAATTGGTAGGGGGTAGGGTGGAACCATGTTTCTCCCTCCACTTCCTCAAGGACCCAATAAACCCGAAACTCTGGAATACTGTGCTTCTTTCCCCCAACTTCAAGCATTTCAATGACTTTCAGTTTAAGACCACCTCACGTTCCTCCAGTAACACAGGACTCCTGGACTCCCAGAGGGCTTTCCATCCAGGTAAAGGGAAAGGTTCTCCTAGCCAGCCRGCTGCCCTGATGTTGTGGTTTGGATATGAGGTGTCCCCAGAAACTCCTGTGTTAATGCAGGGATGTTCGGTGATGAAGWGATTGGGTTGTGACAGTTGTAACCTAACCGGTCCATCCGAGTTTGAATGGTCTTTGTAGGCTGGTAGGGTGCGCCTGGAGGAGGTGGGTCATGGGTGGGGGGGGGTGTGCCCGGAAGGATTGCAATTGCTTTTGGGTTCAAGTGCTGTGCCCACCCCCACCAGACCATCAGCTCCTCAAAGGCAAGGCTCCAAATGATCGTGCTCTATACTCCCAATGCCCAGCACAGTGCTTGGCCCTCAATACGTGCTCAGTAAATGCTTGTAGGAGACCTACTTGAAGACACCCTAGATAAGAAGCAAGCGTTTCCTGCAGGAAACGCCCACCTCCTGCCTGGCCCAATTGCCTGACCTGCCCSGCTCAGCCTACCTCATTGAAGAAAGGGTTGTTTCCCATCTTCACCCGCGTGTTATGCTGGTGGCCCGCAATGGTCACCTTTGTTATGGCCTTGATGTTATTGCCCATGAGCTGTCGCCCTTCAAACACCTTCACCCGCACCTACAGAGGAAAGCACAGAGGAGGGAGATGCTGGGGGCCCAGGCTCCCCTTCCCCTACAGGGACTCTTCTTTCAGTTGCTGTGATAAGCAGCATTTAGGTGCTGTGGATAGAGAGAGACTCCAAGGGGAATGGCTAGGAGCAGCTGGACTCGAGGCAGCCGTGGGTCAGCAAGGTCCCAGGTCACTTAGATTTTTTTAAAGCAAGTGTATGACATGATGATCAGACATCTTTGAAAGACCATGATAACTAAAATACAGGGGGGTTAGGAGTGCAGCTCAGCGGTGGAGTAGTTTCCTAGCATATACAAGGTGCTGGGTTCAGAAAGCAAATAAARAACAGGTAGGAGGGGCTGGGGATGTGGCTCAAGCGGTAGCTCGCTCGCCTGGCATGCGTGTGGCCTGGGTTTGATCCTCAGCACCACATACAAACAAAGATGTTGTGTCCGCCAAAAACTGAAAAATAAATATTAAAGAATTCTCTCGCTCTCTCTCTCTCTCTCTCTCTCTCTCTCTCTCAAAAAAAAAAAAAAAACTGTTTTAAAAAAAAAAAGAACAGGTAGGAGGAGGCTATCTGACGGTGCAGTTCAGGGAAGTGATAGTCATGCGCCATGCAGGGAATGGGCATGGGAAGGGAGAAGTGGGGCAATGGGTGATAGGAAGAGCTAGGATTTGGCCATGACCTGAATGTGGGAAGAGAGGAAAAGTCAAGTTCGGACCTCCTGGGCAGGTGGCATGCTGGAAACAGGCAGAACCCTGGCAGCAATGTTGGGCCGCAGGCTATGGATCAGAGTGGGGTTAGTGAGGCATGGATGGGCTTCTGGAATTCACATGGCTCTGCAGACCTTCCCCTGCGCCCCCTCACACCCTGCTCAGCCTTTTCCCCCCTGCACAGTTTGATTTGACCTTGTAGGATTCTCACTGGTTTAGCCAACAATCCAAGGACTTGGAAGGGCAGGTCCATGCCCTCTGCCTCCCAGCATCTATGGGGGCCTGTGGGGCGCACACTGGGCCCCTCCTCCTGCCTCACCAGGTCGGCTTCAGTCCCAGCCACAGGCAGACATTCCTAGAAAGCCCCCTGGAGGAGCAGGGCATGTGATGAGGTTCTCAGGACCTGAAGCTGGGTCTGACCATGACCTCGTGAAGGGGAGGGGCTGGCTGGGAGCATGGTGAAGACGTCAGTGGGTCACATGGACTTTCACCCTGGAGAGTCCTCACCTGAAAGTGCTGAGGCTTTGAGGACAGGACCACTGGTGTGGTGGCGCCAGGAACCATCAGCTTCTGACGGGCCGCCTCTTTCATAGTTATGCCCAAGACGTCTTCCTTTTCTAGAGAAGCCGTCCAGGGAGGGCGCAGAGGCTGGAGCTCAGGAGGGGGGCAGAGCCATTTCCCCCTTTCATCACTCTGCCCCCCACCATGACCAGCCACTGACTAAAAACATGGCCAAGACTCCTTAATAGGGGCACATGTGCTCCCCAGAACAYTTCCAGGGACCCCTCCCACCCTCAGTAACTGTGATCCCTGGACCCAACTCTTCACAATGGGGGTCTCTTGGAAATGGTCATCCCTGTACCCCCTATGCCCACTGAAGGCTGGGCCTTTGTTTGAAGATGACAAGTGGACACACGAGGAGTCAGATGGCCTTCGCCAGATGTCTGGGGATGCGACCACTAGATCTGTATGGCTTCCAGGGACCGTAACCTGATCACAATCCTTCTGAAAGCCTCAAGGGTTGGRTGTCAAAGGTTCCAAAAAGCCCATCTAGCTGTGCTGGGAGAAGCCCGGGGAAGGACAAACCTGTCCTCTCAAAGTCCTCTTGGGTCATATGGAACACCTGTAGGTTGATGGTGCACTGCAAAGCAAAGGCAGGGGCTGGTCATCCAGACCCTGGACCCTCCCAGGCTGGCCGGGCTCACAGCCAATCCTCTGGAGGGGAGTGACCATGATGCCCCTGATAGGGGGCCACACCTGGTGCAGTCGGGGTGCAGGGAAGACATAAACTGGAGAGGAGAGAGCARTGGAGGACACTGGGAGAATAAAGGAGCCACACAGCGGTGGCAATGGCAGCAAGAAGGTGGGGAGGAGAGGGAGAGGTGACGGGGYGTCCATCAGGAACCATCTCTCCCCCTCGCTTAGCATCTCTGGCCTCCTACAAAGACCTCCTCATGGACCTCCTGYTTCCAGAGGACCTCGCCACCCAAGCGGCTTCACATCATCACCAAGATGGCTTGCTCACCTCCCCAAGGGCCTGAGCCATCAGAGGAAGGCCACCACTCARCAGTGCAGACCACAGGGCCCTTTCACTTGGCCACCCCCTGCTTCAGCTCTGCCACCTCACCTTCTCCCCCAACTACATGCTCAAAGTATAGGCAGCCCCTGTCCATGAACCTGCCTCTTCCCCACACACTGAGGCCCCAGCCTGGTTTTCCTTCTTTTCCTGCCCACTGGGAAAAGGAATGCTCTTCTGAGAGACATAATATCCAAATAGATGAAGCCACRCCACACATAAAAATAAAACTCTGACCGCAATCTGCAGCAACCTACGCAGGCAATTAATCCATTATCTACAGCAACCGGCCCAGGAAGGCAGCCTCCATGAAGTCCGACTTGTAGGAAGTCCGACCCCTGTCTCTAACAACAATCCAGGAAGCCGGGCAATGACCACCAGCCTCCAATGGCCAGGACTGGATGAATAACAACCTGACCGCTGCCCTAATTTTTGTCCCTATTCACAACTTAGGACCAAGTAGAGAAATAGGCTCCCCAAACCAATCACAGAGGATGCTGGGATTCTAGTTAGCCAGTCTCTGGTTTCCATGTAACATCTCCACTCAGGTACACTCGGAGCCTACCATTTCCCCACTAAGAAGCTTTCCCGCTCCCCTGCTACCKTCAAGTGTCTGCTAAAACTCCAATTTTGGCCGGGCACCATGGTGCACCCCTGTAATTCCAGTGGCTCAGGAGGCTGAGGCAGGAGGATAGCGAGTTCAAAGCCAGCCCCAGCCATGGCAAGGTGCTAAGCAACTCAGTGAGACCCTGTCTCTAAAGAAAATACAAAATAGGGCTGGGGATGTGGCTCAGTGTCGAGTGCCCGTGAGGTCCATCCCTGGTAACCCTTTCCCTAATTAAAAAAATCAACTCAATTTTTYATCCCAGTGCTAACTCTCAGGACAATCTATTGATCTTTCTCAATGGATGGATGGAAGGGGAGCTGCCAGGTGGACGGCAGGGTGGGGGAATCGGCAGACAATGGCAGTGGGCTCCCTGCTGGAGTGCAGAAGCTCAGCTCTACTAGTTGCTCCAATTCCCCGAGCTGCCCTGCCGTGGCCTTCCTGGGCCTGAGTCACCTCTGTGGGCTCCATGGAATGGTTGAGCAGGACCAGGTCCTTCACAAAAAGGACCTCGCGGGATTTTTTCTCCAATGACTTGAGCAGTACCGTGGCCAAACCAATGAACCTGGGGAAGGAAGGAGCAGGGGTGAGAGCCAATCCAGGGGACAGGGTCTCCTGTAGGAAAGGCCTTAGCTGGGATGGTTTCCTCTCAGGGACTGAARAACCACCCAGGGAAACAGGGGATCCACCAGAAGGCGCAGGGCTCTCCTCGCTCTGGGGCTCCCAAGGCAAGGAACTGCTGATTGGGCTAAGAGTGAGCGAGCACCTGACTGAAGCTGAGCCCATCAGATTCTCTGAACTGCCATAACTTCACTCCCAAGGGGTTGTCCCTCTGGGTTGGGCATTAGAAGGGACCTGGTTAGGAAGCCAGGCTTTATTTAGCCAGAGAGAAGAAGGAAGGGGAGGCCCATAGCTTCAGAAGGCCAGAGCTGTTGCTGGAAGCCCAAGTTCCCATCCTAACCACCTTGTTCCAGGCCCCACCCCCTTTCCTCCCTGACTGGCTGAAGTGAGCTCCGTCCTTGCAGCAGAATGAGGGTGAGAGGTGAGAGGTGAGATGGATCTGCTGCTGCTGCTCTGGTCAGGGAGCCAGGCTCCACACACCTCTCTCTCTCTCTCTCTCTCTCTGCCTCACCTTTCTTTCTTTGATGGGGTCATGTCCCGAAGGATGATTTGCAGGAAGGAGTCTTTTTCCAGGGGGCGATTCCAGAGGTACCATACCAGGGCCTGTGGAGGGCATGGAGAGGTCAGCGTCCTTCCTTTGCCCTCCCCATCACATCCTCCYAAGAAGGGAGGGAAGGCTGGGGACAGGGGCTGGTACCATATTTCCCCAAAACTTGGAGCTTCCCTCATGTCGATTTCCTGAGATGGCATTTGCTGTCTTGCCCAAAGGACAGGGTGTCCCATCTGGGTTCCTTGGCTTGAACTGGGAAGCTGTGTTAGGAGTTCAGGAGCTTGGGGGAGGGGCAGCAAGAATGGATGAAAGAGGACAGGGGGGTCCTACACGGGGATCCTTGTCTCTGCATCAGACTTCTAGACACACGTATCTGTGGATTGGTTGGATCAGTGGATGGGCCCTACCACGGTCAATCCCGGAGCTGGGAAGAAGCACTAAGAAAGCCGTGGGAATATAACCTTGTCAGATTGGAGATGCCTCGGCCTCGGGAAAGCCCGTGAGGCTCCCTGTTTGYTCCCCAGGCCTCTGAGCACCTGCCTGGACCCCACCATTGTCCCCCCTTGCCATTGGGGTCAGTGAGTGATTCCTCTTCTGGGCTTGCCCTGGGTGTCTACCTCATTCCATATGGGGTYATTCCCTTCTGTCACATGAGTTCTTTTCTTCACATCTGCAGAGACACCAAGGGGCCAGCATTGGTCCTAGGAAATATTTCAATGTCTGGGCTTGATGGGGTCAAGGGACATAGCACATTGTAAGGACTTTTCCCATCTACTTCTGCAAGTGTGAGAGGGCATTGACTGTGTGTGTGTGTTTTTTTGTTTTTTTTGGCAGGAGGCAGGGGGCAGGGGAGGATGTTTAGAAATTTCTCACTTTATCACCCTGTATGACAGATAATGCTTTGTCCCTTTCATTTTCTTCCTAAATCCTTCATTCCCAGCGTCTTCCAGTCAAGTGGGCCAGTGTGGCTCATTCTGGTCAATTGGGTACAAGAGCCATATTCACAACTGCCAGGCTGGGTTCCCAAAATCTGCATGTGAGTCTCCATTCTCCTCTCCCCCTCACCCTATGGCCACCTGCAGAGTGGTGACTTCACACCCACAAGGGACAAGCAGCGGATCCCCCACTGGGTCCTGTCATGCAAGAGACCCCCCTGACCAGCACCATCCACACAGGACTTGGTGTGAGTAAGAGGTAAACTTTTGTTGTTATGCACTGAGACTCAAGGTTTATTTTATTTATTTTTAGTTGTAGATGGAAACAATACCTTTATTTATTTTTATGTGGTGCTGAGGATTGAACTCCGCACACCACATGTGGGAGGCAAGTGCCCTAATGTAAGGCAAGTGCCCTACCATTGAGCCACCACCCCAGCCCCTCATAGTTTATTTATAATCAGGGCAAAGGTAGAGCACCCTAAGACATCCTGAGACATCTGTAAATGGGCTGAATGCTCTTTACCCACTAAAATCCCTCTCCCCCAGAAATTTCTTAATTGAAGACAGTCAATAATCCTGCAAAAGAATTTTTAAAATGATAAATTACTTTGAGCATCTTCTCAAGGAAAGAATGTGAATGCGTGTGTGTGTGTGTGTGTGTGTGTGTGTGTGTTTTTCTATGAGCCAGGGGTGCAGGGAACTGGGTGGTATGCAGGGAAGATGCTGAGAAGGACAGGATGAAAGGAATAAAATAGTAAATATAGCCAGGTGTGGTGGCGCAGGCCTGTAATCCCAGCAGCTTGGAAGGCTGAGGCAGGAGGATTGTGAGATCAAGGCCAGCCTCAGCAACTTAGCAAGGCCCTTAGTAACTCAGTGAGTCCTGTCTCTAAATACAATATAAAAAGGGCTGAGGATGTGATTCAGTGGTTAAGCACCCCTGGATTCAATTCCCAGTACCAAACCAAACATTGAATATAAATAGGACTGGGCATAGTGGTGCACACCTATAATCTGAGCTGCTTGGGAGGCTGAAGCAGGAGGATCGCGAGTTCAAAGCCAGTCTCATTAACTTAGAGAAACGTAAGCAACTTAGGGAGACCCTGTCTCAAAATAAAATATATAAATAAAAAAGGAGTTGGGATGTGGCTCAGTGGTTAAGTGCCCCTGGTTTCAATTCCTGGTACCAAAAAAAGAACAAATAGGAACTTGTAAAGTTTGTGGGTATATCTATGAGTGAACCCAGGGTTCTGGGTTTTGGGCTTTTTTTTTTTTTTTTGTATCAGAGATTGAACTCAGAAGCACTCAACCACTGAGCCACATCCCCAGCCTTTATGTAGAGACAGGGTCTCACTACATTGCTTAGCGCCTCGCCATTGCTGAGGCTGGCTTTGAACTTTCGATCCTCCTGTCTCAGCCTCCTGAGTCGCTGGGATGACAGGCATGCAACCCCATGCCCAGGGGTTTTCAGCATTTTTGTTAGATATATTTCTAGAAGGAGGAGAATGGTGCCTTTGTGATATGATGGGGGAGAGGGCTTTAGTCAGGGAGAGGAGTTGCAAGTCTCTGCCTGGCTAATTCTAAAATTAACCAATCAGGGCAAATAGTATTGACCCCCCTGAACACCTCTATGATCCTGCACACTGGATACAGCATCTTTTGTGAGTCCATGGTACCAAGTATCGGTCTCTGAATATTGTCATGTTCAACAAGCATGGTTTTACAGACCAGAAAAAAAAATATTAAAGGAATTTCATTCTTTGCTTTTCTAGGAACTACTATTATCCCTAAGTATCCTGGGAAATTGGTTCTGGGACCTCCTATGGATATCCAGGTCAGTGGATTCTCAAGTCCCTATATAAAATGGTGTAGTATTTTCCTATAACCTACACACATCTTCCTGTATATATTTTTTTCTTTCTTTCTTTTTTTTTTTTTTTTTTTTTGTGGGGCTAGAGTCAAACCTAGGGCTTGGTGCATTCTGGGCAAGTGCTCTGCCACCAAGCTATATCCCCAGTCCTTTTTTTTGATCCAGGGATTGAACCCAGGGGTGCTTAACCATAAGCCACATCCCCAGCCCTGTTTATTTTTTATTTTGAGACAGGGTCTCTAAATTGCTTAGAGCCTTGCTAAATTGCTGAGGCTGGCTTTGAACTTGTGATCCTCCTGCCTCAGACTTCTGAGTAGCTGGGATTATAGGCATCCATCACAATGCCCAGCTTATCTTTCTTTCTTTGAACCTCAGTTTATGGCACAGCCCTAGTTCTTTTTTTTTTTAATTTAAAATATTTATTTTTTTGTAGTTGTACACAATAACTTTATTTTATTTATTTTTATGTAGTGCTAAGGATCAAACCCAGGGCCTTGCACGTGTGAGGCAAGCACTCTACCTCTGAGCCACAACCCCAGTGCCACAGTCCTAGTTCTTGGAAGAAAGTTGAAAAGTATTACTCTTCTTCCTTTCCCATAACCATTCCCTGGAAAAACTAGGCAGAGAAGTCCTAATGAAAGAAATAATGGCAAGAAAGGTGACAGGGTTTTTTGGTTTGGTTGATTTTTTTTTTTTTTTGTACTTAGGATTGAACCCAGGGGTGCATAACCACTGAGCTATATTCTCAGCCCTATTTATTTTATTATTTTTTAAATTTTGAGACAGGGCCTTGCTAAATTGCTGAGGCTGGTTTTGAACTTGTGATCCTCCTTCCTCAGCCTCCCAAGCTGCTGGGATTATAGGTGTGTGCCAACACACCAGGTTTTTTTTTTTTTTTTTTTCAGTGCTGGGGATCAAACCCAGAGCTCTATTTACTAGGCAAGAGTTCTACCACTGAACTACATCCCCAGCCTTTACATGGTAGCTTTTGAAGGTGCTGGATAGGGTCCATCTCATCATGGGTCACCTAGCGCACCTTTTACATAGTAAGATACCAATAAATGTGTTTTTTTCACTAATGCATGTGGCCTCTTGGGGCTCCTCTTTCCCTCTGGACCCTGGCTCTCACCTCTGAAGTAAACGGTCAGGCAGGGTTTGGGCGGTGGAGTTAGGGGTGGTTCAATCTTGGCAGACCCCACAAAAAGCCGCAGCATCTTGGATACCTCTGTCTTCCTCTCCTTTCTTCTTTAGCACTACAGCTTCCTTCTTGGGGTGCCTTGGTCCCTCTGGGGCGAGTGGAACTTAGCAACAAAGGGGATGTCACAGAGGTGGAGAGTTCTTGGTTCTGGGGAAGAATCTCTAGAAATAGGGGAGGGCAGAGTAACAGAGTACCTATCAAGTGAGTGGCTTAAGGGACTGAGCCTCCAACCAACAAAGTAATCTGTCTGCTTTGACATTCCCTCTTTCCTTTCCCTTTCTTCCTATTTTTGCTGTACTTTTGACTTGAAGATTAGGCATATGAGAAATGTTTTCTCTGTATAAACAAGTAGTCTGGGGTGAATCAGTGAATAATTTAGATGAGAAGCTAAAAGAAATGAGGCCATCAGGGCTGAGATAGTGGCGCACACCTGTAATCCCAGTTTTCTAGGAGGCTGAGGCAGGAGGAAAGCAAGTTCAAGGCCACCTTGGGCAATTGAGTCAAAACTCTGTCTCAAAAAAACAAAAGGCTGTGAATGCCTAGCGTGTGTGAAGTCCTGGGATCCATCCCTTGGACTGGGCCTGGGRGAAGTGAGGCCATCAGAGAAAAGGCTTGAAAAATCAAGGACTGTCTCTGTGAGGTCTCATGGAGAAGCAAAACATTTAGACCTTTTTTCTAAAGGAAACCTAAGTTTGGACATGAGTTCTTCAATAGAGGGAAATCAGCTTTTTTTTTTTGAACCAGGGATTGAACCCAGAGGCACTGAATCACTGAGCCACATCCCCAGCACCCTGTCTTTTTTTTTTTTAATATTATATTTAGAGACAGGGTTTTGCTAAGTTGCATAGGACCTCACTAAATTGGTGAGACTAGCCTTGAACTCATGATTCTCCTGCCTCAGCCTCCTGAGCCATTGGGATTACAGGTGTGCACCACCACATCCTGCTAAACCACCACAGAACTGGTGGCTGTCATTGCTGCTCTTTAGGTCTTTGTGTGAGGATGGAGCTGGGTCATTTGCTCCTGTTGTCCCSATTAGGTAAGGCCTTTTCTGGGTTGGCTTCAAACATTGTATAAGTTACTTCTGATTTAATCAATGGTCAGGATAAGGAATCAATGAATATTTTAAAAGTGTACCTTATAACTAATGAATATTTTAAAAGAGAAAAGGTTTAGGAAAATCAAGGACTAATARCATAATAAGCATACTATTATTATGCATTCTGAAAGAGGCATGGCATTCAAAGACTGAAAGCTGAATGTTTGATCACGGTGCTCAATTATTTTCTAGTGTAGCAGATGTAAAAGGAAAAAGTATGCCCTGGTAGTTTTTCTTGAACTCKAAACACAATGCAATGCTTTTTTTTTTTTTTCTTTGTTAATGATTTTCCAAACTAAGCATAACACCAAAGATCCCTGCAGAAGAAAAGGCTGACATTATTTGGCTAAAACTAAAAAGTCCTATGTGGAAAATATGCTTTAAAGCTGAAAGACAAATACCAAAGTRGGGAAAACATTTACAACATATTTAATATCCAAAAGGTTATTTGGTTTTAGAGAATGAGCTCCTAAAATTCAATAAACTGCTTTCCCCAGAGGAAAGCATGGGTAAAGTTCACTTCAGACGTAGTGTTTTCAACATTTATCCGTGTTGTAGGATGAGTCAGAACGTCATCCTTTTTTTTCGGTTGGGTAAATCCATTATATGAATGTGTCACATTTTGTTATCCATTCATTAATTGATGGGCTTTGAGATTATTGTTCTAGTTTGTTTAACTTTTATTTTTTATTATCATTATTTTTTTATCCACTGAAGTTTTTATTTCTTATGGGTTCTATCCCAACCAGTCATTTAAAAACCAAGTAACACAGCCCTGAGGGGTAGGGTCTGGGAACTGCACCTCCCTCCTACTCACAGGGATAGCTGAGGGGAAGAGGGAGGGGTGGGAGAGGTGGCTGAGGCACCCAGGCAGCAGCAGCAGCAGCAGTAGTAATGGGCCTTGGTGTCACAGAGCCACTCAGTCCTCTCCCAGACCCTGACTGGAGCCCACCTGGTTTGGGGTGGAAAGTGGGTAGAACCTACCCCAGGATCTCCCCTTCCCTCCTTAGATAGCTTCCTTGGGGGCTCAACCCATTTCTTCTGGCAGGAGACTGAGGCACACGGAGAGGAGGAAGTGGGAGAGGAGAACACAGGAGAGGCAGGGTAGTGGCAGAATGAAGGCAGAGGTGACAGGGGTGGGTGAGGCCCCAACACCACCCCTTCGCCCACCTGGGGAAGGGCTGAGGAAGCCACATCACTCCAGCTCTGCACCCACACACCTGACACCATCCAGTAGCATGGGTGTACCATGGTCTTGGTTTGCAAAGCAGGCATGCAAGTTGGTGTGTCCACTGTGCTCTGGCCCCACCCCAAAGAGTCCTCTGTCACCCAGGGATCAGGTGTGGGGTGCTGGGAGGACCTGAGCCTAGAAGTTGGGACCCCAGACTGGACAAGGATCCCAAGGCCAATCTTGCATCTACTTCCTTCCAGCCAGATCTGTGCCTCACACTCACCCATGACACGTGCCTGTATTGTCACCAGCACACAGGCACCCATGCCACCCTTGCAGGCTAGGAGCAGCTCCTCTTTGAGGACGCCCTCCTTATATGCTCACACTTGATGCTGTAACCTGCCCAGAGACAGGAACAGGTGTGSCGTCAGCACTCCCATAGTTTCCCAATCCTGTCCCCAACACTCATGGCCATTACCCATTTCAAGACATGCTAAGCCTCCTGGAGAATGGGGCATGATGCTGGGGATCTTGCATTTAAGTCCTGGCTAAGGCTGGTGTGGGGGTGGATGATGAGTCAAATGCCACAGAGGTCAAGGAGGTGGAGTGCCATGGCCAGAGTGAGGGCACGTTCAGACCCCAGGCCTGTCTAGTGCTGTCACAGCCTCTGATTTTTCAAGAGAATTGGAAATCTGGGCTTTTATACAAAATATTCCAAGTGTTAAATGTTTGCAACTGAGCAAGGTGCAGTGGCACGTGTGTGTAATTACAGTGATTCGGGAGGCTGAAGAAGGATTGTAAGTTCATGGCCAGCCTAGGCAGCTTAGTGAGACCCTGTCTTGATGTAGCTCAGTGGTAGAGGGTCCCTGGGCTAAACCCACAGTACAAAAAAAAAAAAAAAAAAAGTTTGCAATAGAATACAATTGGGATATAGCTTGTGCTTGCCCCATGTGCACAGGCCCTGGGTTCAATCCCCAGCACCACACCCACCCACACACACACACACACAAAAAAAAAAAAAAAAAAGGAAAGAAAGAAAGAAAGAAAGAAAGAAAGAAGAAATGATTGTTTGGCTCCTTTGTCCCCTCTGCCTGGGCCCTCTCCAGGCTTTCCAGTCCCTCTCTGCAAGGCCTGGTACTTCAGCACTCAGCTTCAATGACTTCCCCTTCTAGACACCTCTCAAACACCTCAATGGGAAATCTTTCTTCTAGAACACTCTTGGGGGCTGGGTGTTCCYGCATGATAATTACCATCTTGAAATCTATTTGTGTTCTTGACAGGTGACTGCACCACCCGGCTTATCCTCTCAGCATTTGCTCATTTAGAGTTGAGGGAAAGCTGAAGTCTTGTCTCCTGGGATCCTACTTAGAGTTTGGGAGTTGGATATTGGAGCTGAGATTCCACCCACATTCTCAAGCTCCTCCAACTACCTTCTCTTTATTCTTAAACTCTTCRGGGAAAACCCTGGTCCTGACTCCCCTCTATATTATGTGGAAGGACCAACAACATCCAGAAAAACTCTGCATAAACGTTTTGTTTTGCTATTTATTTATTGTGYAATGTGAGGGATTTAACCCAGGACCTTAATCATGCCAGGCAAGTGCTCTACCAATGAGCTACACCCAACCCCTTGTTAATTATATTTAATAGACTTTATTTTTTGCAACAATTTTTGGTTCACGACTTATTTTTAAATTAATTAATTCATTTTAAATTTATTATTTTTACTGTGGCTGTTTCTTCTGTTATGAGAAAATTCTTAATGAATAAAACATTTTTAACATTTTTGGCCCCGCTGGGGATAGAGCCCAGAGCYTTGCTCATACCACTGAACTTYWCCCCCAGCTCATTAATAAATCCCATTAGGTCCAAACAGTAGTCAATCCTATATAGGCATAAAGAGTTAACAAGCACATTCCTAAAGAGTCAATCCTAGGGGGCTGCTCTGGTGGAGGTGAGTCTGGTGCACGCCCTCCCAGCCCTGCCTCTGGGTCTGTGGGCTCAGAGAAAGGGAGCAATTGCGGAGGGGGTGGCAGTTACTGGGGTCTGTCAGAGTAGAACTCATCCTTTGTGCTGGCCTTCCCTGTTGAACAGGCAGGCGGTGAAAATTTCTACCTCGGAGATGCGCGCGCATTCACGGCTCCGCTATTGCGCACTGAGTCGCTGGAGGCTGAATCCACTCCGGACTTTGCCGCTCACCGTCCCTCCCTTGCCGGGCCACGATCCGTTTCCGCGTTTTGCGCGGTGCTGCAGCGCCAGGACACGGAGGCGGTAGCGCGCACGCGCGCTGGGGCCCGGCCCGGGCGAGCGCGCGGCCCGACGACTGCGGGTGAGACGCAGGCTCGTTCCCGGCGGGGGCGGCGGGCCGAGGGGGCCGCCAGTGCGGCCGCGGGCGGGGCGGCAGGGGCCTTGGCGAGGGCCGCTGGGGTGCCCCGGCCTGCGGGAGTCGGGGGCCGGAGCCCGGGCCCGGCCGGGCCGGGCGTGCGGGGCTGGGGCCGCGGTGACGCCGGCTCCCGGCCGCCGGGGGAACGGGAGGCGGGGGCCGGGCGGCTCCTCCTCGTCGCGAACCCGCTGCGACCTTGGCCAAGTCGCTTGGGCCCCGGAGCTTCCGTCGCGGCCGTCCGCTGGGATCACATGCTCTGYCTCCGGGAGGAGCCGTCTCGCGGTTCAGTGGCGGGAACCTCGGAGGGCGCCGGAGCCCCGGGCTTTTTGCGGGGGGCTCCACCCGGGCCGGGAGAAAGGGCTC